TGCGTTTCGGCAAGACAGATCCAGACACTTTTAGGTCACATGGCAGCCACTACTTCAGTCAACCATTACGCGAGACTCAGAATGAGAATCCTCCAGTCATGGTTCCTGTCAGTATTCGACCCGTTGACGAGCAGTCCAGAGTTGAAACTCTCCCTCCCGTCTGTGGTCCGCGACTCACTGATACGTTGGGAGGACGAAGCTTGGGTCTGCTCGGGGTTCCAATTCCACCATTTGTACCCTACCAGAGTCATCATTACGGACTCATCCCTTACGGGATGGGGTGCGCACTCCCAAGGACTCATTGCACACGGTGTATGGTCAGGGCAGGAAAGAAACATGCACATAAACATTCTAGAACTGCTCGCAGTAGAAAGGGCTCTACACTCCTTCGAAAAGGTCATACTAGGTCAGGTGATTCAAATTGTTACGGACAACACGACAGTAATGTTTTATTTGAACAAGCAGGGAGGTACACATTCGAAGGACCTGCTATCTCTATCAATACAGATTTGGGACTGGTGCATAGAAAGGGGTATACATCTCTTAGCGAGCCATCTCCCAGGGGAACAGAACACACTCGCGGACGCACTAAGCAGAAACCCACTAGTGCACCACAAGTGGTCGCTACATTCACAAGAAGCACACAGACTGTTCCTAGCGTGGGGATTCCCGGAAGTGGATTTATTTGCAACAAAGGCCAATTCCAAATGCCCTCTGTATTGTGCTCGACAACGGGCCCATCCAGAGAGCGGGTGTTTGGGGGATGCCTTTCTGATGAGGTGGTCAGGGCGCCTATTGTACGCCTTCCCACCAATACCCCTCCTGATGAGGGTCATAGCAAAGATTCAGGAAGACAGTGCCAGGTGTATAGTGATAACGCCATGGTGGCCAAGGCAGCCTTGGTTTTCTCTTCTCTACCAGATGGCCAGGGGGGCATTTGTCCGACTACCGTGCAGGACAGACCTTCTGTCCTCACAGGAGGGTCAGGTTTTACACCTGGAGGTGGACAAGTTGAAATTGACCGCGTGGCGGGTACTCCCGGACCACTAGCGACTTTCTCTAAATTGCCATGATCGGTATTGAAGTTTATCGAGGCGGCGCATAGAACGTCTACACGACGCTCTTACGTCTACAAATGGACACGTTACTCCAAGTATTGTAAGGGGAGACAGCTGGATCCAATGGAAGCCCCCATTTCTGTGGTGTTAGAGTTTTTAGTTTCTCTGTTAGAGGCGGGCCTATCACATTCTTCCCTCAAATGTTACCTAGCCGCGATATCGTGGTTTAGGAGAAAGCGTGGGTACCCCTCCTGTTTCACAGATCCAATGGTTAAGACATTCATGAGGGGCGTAGCTAACGTAAGGCTGTCTGTAGCTCCAGTACCCCCGGGTTGGAGTCTGGACATTGTTCTGTCAAGATTAGTAAAACCTCCTTTTGAGCCTATGGCATCTATAGACCTTTCTTACCTCTCCTGGAAAACGGCGTTTCTAGTAGCTATCACCTCAGCACGCCGGGCTAGCGAGCTGAATGCATTGAGGGTAGATCCCCCGTACCTAAGATTCCATAGGGATAAAGCAGTACTTCGCACAGATGTTGCCTTCTTGCCTAAAGTATCTTCACGTTTCCATATGTCGCAAGACGTAGTACTTCCAGCATTCTATCAGAATCCCACATCACATGTTGAGAAGAGTTTGCACTTCTTAGATGTCCGTAGGGCTCTGGCTTTTTATGTAGATAGGACGTCCTCCTTTCGACAGACCCCTAGGCTGTTTGTGAAATACCGTAAGGACGCTCAGGGCATGCAACTATCCTCCCAGAGATTGTCTGGATGGATAGTATCTCTAATCCGGCTGTGTTACCGTTTAGCCGGGAAAGATTTGCCTCAGCAGGTCAAAGGCCATTCCACGAGGTCGATGTCCACGTCGGCGGCTTTCCTGAAAGGTGTTTCGTTGGATGCGATTTGCCGAGCAGCGATATGGTCGTCACCACTGTCGTTCGTGACCCATTATAAGCTTGACGTGGTTTCCAGGAAGGACACAGAATTCGGCAGAGCTGTCCTGTTTTCGGCTGTGGCATGACTCCCACCATCCACGGTCAGTTGCTCGCTAATCTACCATATGTGCGATTCACAGGATTTACGACAGGAAATTATAAGTTGCTTACCTGTAACTGTAGTTTCCTGAGTAGAATCCTGTGAATACGCACATCACCCGCCCTCCTCCCCTTGAAGGTCATGCCATCTCTACTGCTTTCTAGCGGAAGAGAACTGAGTAACGGCCACTGCCCCGGGCTATATATAGGATAGGGGAGGGGGGCGCGTGGCCAGAGGGAGTCTAAACGGTCATTTTACTTTCCAGAAGGTTCCGATCGCTGAGCTGCGCAGGCGCAGAGTTACCATATGTGCGTATTCACAGGATTCTACTCAGGAAACTACAGTTACAGGTAAGCAACTTATAATTACTATATATACCTGTCTATAAGTTGAGGGCAGGTTTGGGGGCTGAAATTATAGATTTTGCTCTGACCTGTGCATGTTGAGGGTAAAACTTATGGACATGTAATAAACCTTTTCCTTCTCTCTTAAAATGCATAAAGGGAACATATTTAGGAATAATATTAGTTATCATTTTATTTGTTTCTTCCCTCTTCATGGATTGAGGCAGGACATGGCACAGTCAAAACACATCACTATAAAATAGTACAATAAAATGCATATATTAAAACACATTTGTATAAAATACATATATTAAAACACAATAGTAATATAATGTACATTTTAAATTTGTGGTTTAAAATTGACTGGGTAGGCATGCCAGAAGAGATGGGTCTTAAGTTGTGTTTTGAATTCTTTTTTTAGCTGCTGGATCTCTTCCAGCAAGTCATTCCACAGTCTTTAGAGTGGCAGAGGAAAAGGTCCTCTGGGTTACAGTGGTTGGTTGGAGTAGTAGTGTCTCTCAGAGGACCCAAGTATCCTAAGGGGTGGATATCTAGGAGAAGGTGATCCTTGGACTCAAACTATGTTGGGCTTTAAAGGTTAAAACCAACACTTTGTACTTTACCCAGGAACTAATTGGCAACTAGTGGAGTGACTGTCGTATAGGTGTGATATGCTCACTTCTAGATGTTCCTATAACTAGTCTGGCTGTCATGGTTTAAACTAATTGGAGTTTCTGATCTTCATACATATGTTTCTCAATATAAAGCAGAAGTCCAACCTTGAGGTTACTAGCACATGCATCTTTAGGTCCTCCAAATCTAGGCAGGGATGCAGCTGGTGTATCAGCCGAAGCTGGTATTAAGCACTCTTCACTGTTACATCTACCTGCGCTGTCATTGGCAAGATGGTTCCAAGAGCCCTCCCAAGCTATGAACACAGTATTTCAGGAGGAGTGTAACCCCATCCAGGACTGGTTGAAATAACTCCATCCCCAGGTTAGGACCCTTAATGACAAGTAACTCTTCATCTGGATTTAGTTTCAGTTTGTTTTTCTTAATCCAGCCCCTTACCTCCTCTAGGCATTCATTCAGAGGAGACTCACTATCCTTAGCTAAAGCTGCTTTCGAAGGCTTATATTTCAAAATATATTTGGATGTTATCAGCATACTGATAGCTTCCAGATAATCTCTTCCAGTGGTTTCATGTAAATGTTAGAAAGCATTGGGGATAGAATGACCCCTTGTGGGATGCCATGTAACAGCTCATTTTTAGGAGCAGCTGTCCCCAAATACTACCATCTGGAACCTGCCTGAGAGGTATGAGTGGAACCACTGCAGCTCAGTGCCTCCAACTCCTAGCCCCTCCCCCCAGGCATTCCAGATGGATCCTGTGGCCGATGGTATCGAACACCTCTGAGACATCTAGAAGCACCAACAGGGACACACTCCCCCTGTCAGTGTTAAGACTGAGATCATCTACTAAGGTGACTATAGCAGTCTCAGCTCCTTGTACTGTTCTGAAGCTGGTTTGAAATGGGTCAAGGAAGTATGTGTCTTCCAAAACTGCCTGGAGTTGGTGGGCAAGTGCCTTCTCAATCACTTTGCCCCCCAAAATAAGGTTGTATTCTGTAATTATTAAGGTTCAGAGGATCCAGGATTCAGAGCAGTCTTAAGTACTGTGTTTTGTTGAAGGCTTTCATGGCCAGAATTACAACTTCTGAGAATGCCTGCCTTAGATGCATGCGAAACGTCAGGAGAGAATGCTTCTGGAACATGACCATTCAGCCCAGAAAACACACAACAACCCGGTCTAAGTACTGCTTCTTTTAAACAGATTGCAAAGTTAAATTCCCTGAGAGTTGCATTGATAATTGGTTATATTTAGATCAAATTGTATCTCCTCCCTGAATGACCAGCCAAGAGAGGGAGGGATCAAGAAAGCAGTTTGTCCTCCTTTGGTGACCACTAAATCCAACTTCATCTACAAATTCAAATTACAAATTCTTACAGTACATAGAATTATAAACTAATATCTATCACACTGTGGAGATCTGGTACATGCTTTGAATGCAAAGCTTTGAACTTTGTGTCCCTGGTGTCTAAAGGCTAGGAAGGGCACTCCTCGAAAGCACCAGAGTGTTGCTTCCAGTCAGTGTAGACAGTGAGGATGCCTGCAATAGATGCAGATGAAACGTCAGGAGAAAATGCTTCTAATCTAGAACATGGCCATATAGCTCAAAAAACCTACAACAACCCAGTGCAGACAGTATCGGGTTAGATGGTATGACTGTGTGAGATACCTCTCTATGTTCTACTAGGTCAAGCCTTTAAGATTTGTTTTTAAAACACAGAGCTACCTCACTATGACAATGTTTTTTTAAAAGTCCTTTGGGGAAAAGATTTGCTTTTTTTTAGTAAAGGTGAAAATTTGATGCAGCTTCTTGACACTACTGCTCTCTGACATATGTTACCATGGTAGAAAATACTAGAGGCTATCTGGTGTTTGTAGTTGAGGAGAGCTGTTTACTACACAACATAATTGGGCTTTCTTTTGTACTTGGCAGAGATGAACACAATGACATCTTAGCTGTGGCAGATTGGGGACAAAGGCTTTCCTTTTATCAGCTGAGTGGCAAGCAAGTAAGCTATATGTTAATACAGCATTTTGAAATCATACTTAGTTATTTCTTTCTTTGGAGGTGCTGAGTTGGCTGTTGAAAGTTCCTCTTAGCCTGTAGTTGAGTCTGCTGGACCCAAGCTATGTATGGCTTTAAAGGTCACTTTGAATTCTGCCCAGAAATAGACTGCAGCCAGGGAATTCTGCTTCAATGAGGGATCTCTATAACCAGTCCCAGTCACCTTGACTGCAGCATTTTTTCCTGATAGTTCCCAAAGGCAGCCCATATAGAGTGTGTTATAGTAGTCCAAATGATATAATCGAGATACATGTCACTTCAGCCCGATCGGACTTCTCAAGTAATGGGTATGGGTCCAGCATTAAGTCCAAGCCGCAAACCTGAAATTTCAGGAGGGGGGCATAATCCCCTCCAGCTCAGGCTGAATTTTAGTGGCTTCACGTAGATTTTAAACAGCACTGATGAATTCAGGAATTCCATAGGCCAGTGGTCAGTGTGTCAAACAGGCATCCCACAGCATTATTTAATATCCTTCTGAAAAAGATGGGGATCACTATAAATCAGAGCTACCTAGTCCCATCCCAGAGAAAGAATTCAAAAGGATACCATGGCCAATGGTATCAAAAGTCACAGAAAGGTTCAGTAGAACCAACAGGGGCACATTCCTCTTACCTAGGTTCCTGCACAGGTTATCCACAAAGACTACCAAAGCTACCTCAGTCCCTTAGCCAAGTTTGAAGCCAGATTCACTAGATCTAGGTGATTCAGTTTACCCAAGAATCCCTGGAGCTAAAAGACTTTCATACACTCTAGAACAGTGGTTCCCAACCTGTGTGTCCCCAGGTGTTTTGGCCTACAACTACCAGAAATCTCAGCCAGTTCACCAGCTGTTAGGATTTCTGGGAGTTGAAGGCCAAAACTTCTGGGAACCCACAGGTTGAGAATCACTGCTCTAGAACAAGAAAGGAATATTGGAGAGTGCCTAATAACTGTACAATATGGTGAGATTCGGAGAGAATTTTTCAAGAACCCCGGTAGGCCTAGCTTCACTCCATGAGAGAGAGAATGCAATTACAGTTGGTCCGCTGGTTTGGCTATTTATTTCAAAATCAGCCTGGGCTTTGAAAAGATCACAGGCAACAGGAAGTTCCCTGAGAACTGACAGGAAACACATCCCCCTCTCTTGCAGAGGCTCCAAATCCTAGTGAGTCTAAACCTGATCAGGTAAGTGATCTCTCCATGATAACAGAATTATGGAATTTTCCTTCATTTCCAGATCACCATGATCCAGCCCAACACAGCAAATGTAGTGGTCCCAGACATTACTTGGAATAAGGTCAAGGTTATCATAGAAGCCTTGTGGTCCTTAGCTACTCCTGCTAGTGTGTCTCTGCATGGATGTTAACATCTCCCAGTAAACCACCAGATGTAAACCCAGTAGACCACCACAACACTGCTCCCCCCACCAGGCATTTCCTGTTGCTTCACAGAGAACCCAGGCAGACAAAGCAGGAAGGTCACAAGAATAAAAGAAAGGATGATGTGCTCAGAATCAATTCTGGATTAAGAATGTTTTCTGATTAATTGATTTGGCATTCAGCAGCAGCATTTTCAGTACAGGGACCCTGTTGCCGATTTTATGCAGACTATTTAAAGAAGGTGACTGTTTGATAGCAAACAATACCTTGTTGGTCCCTTCTCCCGTGACAGTAACACTGTCTCCCCACTCAATATCCTCCTTTATCCACAGTTGTTGAATTGGGTACTCTTTTGATTGTTTTCCCTCCCATAGAATCATAGAATCAAAGAGTTGGAAGAGACCTCATGGGCCATCCAGTCCAACCCCCTGCCAAGAAGCAGGAATATTGCATTCAAATCACCCCTGACAGATGGCCATCCAGCCTCTGCTTAAAAGCTTCCAAAGAAGGAGCCTCACAACCCGGGGCAGAGAGTTCCACTGCTGAACGGCTCTCACAGTCAGGAAGTTCTTCCTCATGTTCAGATGGAATCTCCTCTCTTGTAGTTTGAAGCCATTGTTCCGCGTCCTAGTCTCCAAGGGAAGCAGAAAACAAGCTTGCTCCCTCCTCCCTGTGGCTTCCTCTCACCTATTTATACATGGCTATCATATCTCCTCTCAGCCTTCTCTTCTTCAGGCTAAACATGCCCAGCTCCTTAAGCCGCTCCTCATAGGGCTTGTTCTCCAGACCCTTGATCATTTTAGTCGCCCTCCTCTGGACACATTCCAGCTTGTCAATATCTCTCTTGAATTGTGGTGCCCAGAATTGGACACAATATTCCAGGTGTGGTCTAACCAAAGCAGAATAGAGGGGTAGCATTACTTCCTTAGATCTAGACACTATGCTCCTATTGATGCAGGCCAATATCCCATTGGCTTTTTTTGCCGCCACATCACATTGTTGGCTCACGTTTAACTTGTTGTCCATGAGGACTCCAAACTAGTTGCTATACAAGTCATAAGCAAAACTTGTATTAAATTTAGAAGTTGCTAAGGAGAAAGCATTGTCCTCTTGATCTTTAGCTAATTCAAGCTGAGCTGTTCCTCAAGTTCAGCTTTAGAGTATCGCCATAGATGTGTTGAATTGTGCAACTTATCAACAGTATCATCTGCCTTAGAACCAAGGATTGATGGGCTTCCTCACTGGCAAAAGGAACACATAAACCCAAACACTGGCCAGAATCTCTACATTAAAATTGTGCATTGTGAAGAGAAAAAGTTGTTCTAGGAAAGCTCTGCACAACCTGTGGACTTCCAGGTGTTTTGGGCTTCAGCTCCCAGAATTCCTGAACATTGGACAAGCTGACTAGGGCTTCTGGGAGTTGGAGTCCCAAATACCCAGAGGGCCACAGATTGTGCAGGCCTCCTCTAGGAGGTCTTGTCTATAGATCAGATTTACATAAGATTTCTAACGAAAATACCTTTTTTGTGTGTTTTGTTGATTCTTTCATATTTTTTAGATTGGAAAGGACAGAGTCCTGAACTTTGACCCTTGCTGTGTTAGCTATTTTTCAAAGGGTGAATACATCTTACTTGGAGGCTCAGACAAGCAAGTATCCCTTTATACAAAGGATGGTGTGCGCCTGGGTACTGTAGGAGAACAGAACACTTGGGTGTGGACATGTAAAGCTAAGCCAGATTCGAATTATGTGGTAAGAGTTCGCTTACAAAAACCTTGATCTTATATATGTTTTTACTCTCCTTTTGGGTCCTTGCTTTTGATGCCAATCTACCTATGTAGTTTTGAGGAGCTGAATCATTTTGAAATGGCACTTTATATTTTTTTCAAAAGACATTTCTAGGAATCATTTCACACATTATAAAGAAGCTCAGGCATACACAGGTAACCACCGCTCTCTTATGGACCTCAATTCTTACTTGCATTTTCATGTGTAATCTTAAGGGTATAATGTGTAAAGCAGATCTGATTTAGAATGAGCCTAGTGGGTTTCCTTTGGGCTGCTGTTGCACAGGATTTGCACCCCACTTTCCTTTTTGGTTTTCAGCAACCACACTATGACTCCAGGGACCATTTTTATTCTTCTCTCCTTGTTCCTATAGCTTGCTGGCCTCTTTGCCCTCAAATTACAGTTAGCCCGTCGCATAGCCTTCCCCCCCTTGATTATCTCTACTTCCATATATGTTCTCTTTCTTTGGGCCATATACAGTCTTTTATTGAAGTAATCCTGATCAGTTTATCTTGATTTATTATACAATAGATACATCTATGGGAAAATATTTTGATTATATGGAGGATCATATAAATAACTATACAAAATTAAAGAAAATGTGCATTTTATTAAGTACAATTAGAGACCATATAGTATATACCGCAATAAAAATTCACTCACAACTAGGATCGTTTACTTTATAATTTCTGATTCAGAAAGTCATCTCAGAGATGCATTGGGGCACAAAAGTTTCAGAATCCTCTTTTTTGCTTTCCTTTTTCTTATGGCACTGAAAGTTATTGTCTGTTTGGGAAAAAAGAAATTCGCTTTTACAGAGTTGATACTATAGCCTTTCAATAAAGGTCAAGTAATCTTAGATCATTTTCACCTTTAACGCTTATTAGTTACCTGACAACCAGAGTTCTCTGCATATCATACATATTAAAATGGCAATTCCATTAAAACTCCCAAGTTCCTTCAGTCTTTTAAAATTATAGTCAAAATACACATGAATTTGAACTTTTAGTGATCTTTTTCTTTTTCTTCAGGCAGTAGGAAGCCAGGATGGAACAATTTCATTTTATCAACTGATTTTCAGCACAGTCCATGGCCTTTATAAGGATCGCTATGCTTACAGAGACAGTATGACAGATGTCATTGTCCAACATCTCATCACTGAGCAGAAAGGTAGCTTTTGGCAGACATTCATTTAGGGATGTGTGTCCCTCCCTTCTTATCAGTAATCAGCAGCTAATCTGCATATTTGACAGGAAAAAAATAACTAACAACCTATGTGGAATGTTTTCCTTTGCAATTGTGTTCCTTGGATATTCATTTTTTATGAAACATTTTTTCTGTTACCTGAGAAGTCCCTGTTTACAGCCTCAGTGGACCCAGATTTAATGCTTTGAATGTTATTTTGGCTTTTTGTTCTTGTTGCTAGTGATTGCTTATTAAATTGATTGTTAAGTTCTTTTTCAAATTGATTTGATGGTTTTGTTTGCTTTTATGCCTGAATTGTATGTCGCCCTAAGGCACAGCAATGAAAAATACAGGGCTGGAATTATGCATTGCCTTCTGTTGCCTACTGTCTTTGGAAAGCTTTGATCTTCCAGAGGGATTTTACTATTGGAAACAAAGGAGGCTATTGCCAATGTCCCCTCTTTCCCATCAGCCCCTAGTTCCTCCAGCAGATCCCCAGAAATCATAAAAAGCTGTAGGGAAAGGAACTGGTACCCATTATTTTCTGCTTTTCACCTGCAGGAGTAAAGTCTGGATATTTTAAAATAGTGTTTAAATTTTCATTATAGCTTTATACAATGAACTTAATCAGTAAAATATATTTGGTTATAAATTCTACTGTGTTATACAATGCATAGGAAAGCCCTGCTTCTGAGTATCATGATGTCCTTGACAAAGTGTTACTAGAAAATTCAGGAATCCTGGATGACTGTGCATTGTTTTTATTGAAAGAAGTGCATACTGTGGAAGAGAGTTCAGAAGGTGGTTTTTAAAGAGTTAAGAAATTGCTTTAGAACCATGAACCTGGGCAGTCAGTTCTGCAAAAAGAGCTTGTGTTTATTTTCTAATAAGCAATTGCAGGTTTGTGTCAGTCTCTTTGTTCCCTTTTTCTGGGGAGTGTTTGTGGACTTGAATTTGCACATGTGTCCTTTTAGCAAGCACCCTTCTTCTTATGAGGGAAACAAAAAAAAAGAAAAAAATCACTCTGCATCCTCCGTCGTAATAATTTATTCAACATTAGCATTGTCTTTCTTTAATCAAAACTACTATAAAAACAAGACCCTTCTTAGTGGCTGGAACAGCTTTCCTAGGGAGTCTAGAATGCTCCTTCCATTGGTAGGCAAAGATTTTCTTTAGACTTTCATGATCTCAGTGTTTTTAAAGAAAGTTCTTTTAATAGGACACTGCACTTTTTATCATACTATTTTTTAAGTTGTATATTTTAAATAGTTTCAATGGTATTGGAAGTCATATTTTAATATTAACCTAAAGTTGTTGTGGTTACTACTAATAATAAGGTAATAGGTTTATCCTCAGATTGATGTTATGACTGAATAATTTCCAGACAATAAACCAGAAAGGTAACATGAAGAATCTTTTGCTAAGCTTAAACCATTTTCCTTCTCATGTCAGAGTTTTTAAGATGGGGGGAGAGAAGTGGGAGAACTAAGATTTCCCTAAATTCCTCCCCCCTTTTCTGGAGCAAACAAAGTTCAGAGTTTAGCTTTGGGGGGATATAAATTGAGACATTTTACACTAAGGGCATGTGTCTGGCAAAATAATTATATCAGATTGGTAAGATTATTTGCTTTGTAATTCTGTACCCACACATGGTAGATTTTTTTTCTTTCTTTTAAAACTTTTTTTAACCCCTCTAGGAGATAAGATAAAAATTTTTACTGACCAGTATCCTATAAGCTGGCTTTGAAATCAAACCTCTTTACTCCTGTTTTGTTTAGTTGGGCAGTATCCTACACCCATTGCTCAGGGAAATATAAAGCGGGGGGCGGGGGGGGCGGCAGCGCAGGAACAGTTAATCAGCTAATCCACAACTCTACACCGACTGATTTGTATCCATAGCATCATGGTGTAGGACAGCTGTCATATCCTCACTCTAGGAAGGAAACTTTTCTTTTATTAAGAAAATAAAATACATTGCAAGAAATTATTTTTTACAATGCTAATAGTGGAAAACATGGGGGCAGAGGGGGGTGAGCTAGATGTTTTGTTGTTTATATGTATAGTAAGAAATAAAGATGCAGGTTTGCCCACTTCATATGGATGAAGAAACAATGTGCAGAAAGTTCAAAATGTGTAGTACTACATGTATATATTTAGGTGACTTTCATCATTCAATGGAATGCTTTCTAGATTTAAGCTCAGTATCTCATCTGTTTTGACCTTTAGGTGCCTTCCAAGGTGGCTCTGTCTCAAGTCTGTTTGGAGCACTCATTGTGATGAAAATGATAGTATAGCAAAGCAGACAAAGCATTACATTCTTCAATGTCACTTCCCTATCCCCCTTTAACAGATGTGAGAGTGTCTCAGCTATCTTCATTGCTCCCCAATTGAGAGTGGGATAAATTGTGTTGAGAGCATTTTTAGATAAAGGAAAGTTGGAATTTGCTCACTCAGGACTCACCTTTAACTCTATTCTACAACAAGGCACTCACTTCCCATTTTTAAAGTTTTGCATTCTACATTTAGCTTTTCAATACACTTCTCTTCAAGTATAGTTGCATATATACTTGTGTAGAAGTTGACCACATGTATAAGTTGAAGGCAAGTTCTAAAGCCAAAAGTCTGGTGTGATTTGTGGATAATCAAGGGTCATTTCACATAGAGGGGAAAGCACCAGTGCCACTTTAGGGGGGCAACCATTTTCCCATCCAGACATCCAAAAAGGGCTTTTGCTGCTATACTCAGAAAAGGCAATGGTTCCTCTTTTGATAAAAGTTAAGGTAAAGTATTAATTCTTATTCATATAGAATAAGTTGTGGTGGCTCTTTGGCACTTCCCATCAAAGGACTGCAGAAAGTAGAAGGCTCCAGTGCTTCTTTTAGGCTCTCCTGGAATGGAGCAAGCTCTCATCTTTTGCCATTCTTCTCAGAGAAGGGGATAGGTCCTTTTTAAAAAATAAGAGTTAAGGTATTGGTATTTACACTGACCTGTGGATGCGTTGACTCAGATTCTTTGGGGTTGATAGTTCGGCCAAAACCTCTAGACTTATACATGAGTATATACAGAATACTCTCATCTTTCAACCACAAAGATCTTGATACTTAAAATCCATTAGGCTTAGAACCTAGGAAAGACACAAGCGAAAGGAGATGGTATTGTGGCAATTCAATTCATCCTTCTCAGAGATGACAGCAATCTCAATTGAAATGGAGGGAGGGCCTCTAACCATTCCCTGGTTTCTAGACACAATAGAACTGTGCTGAAACACTCCTCTCTTCCTCCATTAGAAGGCAGAAACTCTCACCCATGACCAGGGCCCAGGTCTCGTGGAGTTCAGCCTGACTGCTCTTTTCTTCTGATATGGACCCATAATTTCAAGAACAAAAACCAATTCTAGTATAATTTGCATGATCCCATAGAACTGTGACATGGTTGTAAATTCACTACCACATGCAACACAGAAGAGTGAAAATGGCTAGAGCAAAGAATGGTCGTGGGTGGGAATAATGATGCAAAGTCTTGGGTAGTGGGTTTATGGGGAGGGATGGAGAAATGGAGAGGAGATGTGCCCATTCATACTGTTTCACAAAGCTTTAGTTGGTTAAATTACACAAAGTATTAATAATATATGAACTTCCGTTAGCCAGCACTTGTTTATCTGATCTATCTTGTTTCTTGTGAGTCTAGAGTAACATAACATTTTAATTCCATTTTGCAAACTATTTTACTGATGTTCTTTCTTTTCAGTTAGAATAAAAAATAGAGAGCTTGTGAAGAAAATTGCAATCTACAAAAACAGATTAGCAATCCAGTTGCCAGAGAAAATCCAGATTTTTGAACTATATTCAGACGACTCGTCAGACATGCATTACCGTGTAAAGGAAAAAATAGCAAAAAAGTTTGAATGTAACTTGCTGGTTGTATGCTCTGAGCATATTATCTTATGCCAGGTAAGGAACAGAAAATCATATTTCAAAATATAATTATTTGCCGTGGTACATCTGAGACAATTGTTAGGTTAGCTGCATGTTCCTTTGCCCCTTGTATCTGAAATACCGTTTGCTTTGTCTTAAGAGTAGAGTTTGAATTCCTTGTTATCTGTCTAGAACTATATAGGCCGTTTTCCTGCTATACTGGAATGAGCCAATGGTTAGATTTAGATGTTTTTTAGAAGTATTTTTTGTTTATTATTTACTTTAGTTCTATTCCACTCTCTCACCCCAAGAGTTTAAATAATTTTGGACATGTAACTCTAAGCAGGAGACAAAAAATATGTCATTCATTTAAAAATCCTGTTTTTTTAACCCCATCTTTCTTACTCAAGATGGCATCACAACAACACAGCAATATAGGAGTTATTCAGGTGATACATTCAGCACATGTACAGAGTATTATTGACCTGTGCACCTGTACATATGAAACGTTCTGCATATGTACAATCTGTGAAAACTGCACAGAGGCTAAAGTACACTAGTGGTTCTTATCAAAATTTATAATAATAATAGATGATATGATAGTCCAGAGAATGGAATCAAAAGATGTCAGTTTTCAGCACATCTTAATATGTGCCTGCAATAGTGTTTGAATGAAATGATTTGAAATGTGACACAGTTGTAAATCTCATTAAGTATATATTACTGATGCCAAAATTCAGATTACTTGCTTTTATTTATTTTGTTTCAAATGCATTGCATAAATAAACAAGTGTAAAAACTGATAAAATAGAGGCAACACAATCAGCTAAATAATTTTGGACCAAAAACGGGAAACAGTGACCACATTGTCTATAGCTTTAAACAGTTCTTCCTCTGTGCATGAGGCAGGGCATGGTAGGCAAGCATACAGGTGCTGAGTTGTTTGCTCCACAGTCTCACAAGGTGGAAGATTCTTCTAGGTAGTTCCATTTTGCCGGATTGTCTTTTGATCTGCCTACTCCACTTCTGAATCTGTTCAGGGACTTCCAGATTTCTCATTCTTGGTTTGTCCCTGGAGGCAGACTCTCGTGGGGGGGCCATCCAGTTGGAATTTCCTGGTTTAGTTGCCCAGAAGGATATTTTTGCTGTTGCTGGGGGAAAATTAAGAGAAGTGGTGGTTCTCATGAAACTTTTCCTTGAATTGAGTCTACTGGGAGGAGGCTGATAGTCATGCAGTGGATGGCTTTCATGGTGTTCAACCTTATTTCTTTCACAGTTAGCAGCAACTTCCCATCACACATCTGGGGGTTAATTTTCACTTGCTTGTAGAGTCTATCAACGGTTTGAGACATTCTATGTTTTGTTCAGTTCTATATCAACCTACTTTGCATGGGCAGACTTGTTCAACAGATGTTATTTTTCTAATTAGTTGAATGTTGAAGTTTATGATCATGGAAATGTTTCTTTTATAACTTGCCTTGAAGGAACACAACTGTACACTTTTAAAATTAATATCTGATTGCTTTCTTTTTGTGGTGAAGGTTGCTGCATTATCTTGATACACACTTGGATATTAGATTGTGAATCTACCATTAAAGAGTTGAAAAGAAATTAAGACATTCTATGTTTGATTCTGTGAATCCCCTCCCTATTCAATATAAACCAGTTGTTGGCATATAAACAGATTGATACTTAATGTTATAGAGGCCTTCATCTGTTAATCATTGTGAGGCAGAGATACAAGAGAACTACCTTTTAGTAGAATATAATCTGTTATTTCCTTTTTAGGAGAAAAGACTCCAGTGCCTTTCATTCAATGGCACTAAAGAAAGGGAATGGGTAATGGAATCTCTCATTCGCTACATAAAAGTCATTGGAGGACCTCCAGGCAGAGAAGGTCTTTTAGTGGGTTTAAAAAATGGGCAGGTGAGGTTGCATCATAAAGTTTGAAGAATAAAATAAAACCTTTGGTTTACATAGATATATATAAAAAATATGCGCAAGGCTAATATTTGCTTCTCTGCAACTTAGGCAGCCACCTTTAGCAACACTGGCATTTAAGAGTGGCATGTTCAGAGATAGGTAAGGTAAAGGTAGTCCCCTGACATTAAGTCCAGTCATGTCTGACTCTGGGGTGTGGTGCTCATCTCCATTTCTAAGCCGAAGAGCCAGCGTTGTCCGTAGACACCTCCAAGGTCATGTGGCCGGCATGACTGCATGGAGCGCCGTTACCTTCCCGCTGGAGCGGTACCTATTGATCTACTCACATTTGCATGTTTTCGAACTGCTAGGTTGGCAGAAGCTAGGGCTGACAGCGGAAGCTCACGCCGCTCCCCGGGATCGAACCTGTGACCTTTCAATCAACAAGCTCAGCAGCTCAGTGCTTTAACCCACTGCGCCACCGGGGGCGCAGAGATATCAGAGATAGTGGCAGCTAATTAAAAACTTACTTTGCAACTGTGTTCCCCTTCTTAAGATGTGGTTGACAGTGTTTAGTGTTCTGTAAAGCATTAAAAAATTAAGAGATACATTTGAGAGTAACATAAAAATATTCTTAAAATATGGTTTTAAGAATTCCAAGTTCTTCAGCCCATTCTGTTATATGTTAATTCAATACATTTGATACAAGGCAAGAAATGTGTTGTGTTAAATTTTGCTTCTGTCATCTGTGAGGTAAGCTTTTGCCTCTAAAGTTAATCATTGTCTTGCACAGTAATTATTTATAATTACCTTAAAGCATGTAATTGAAACCAAAGCAAATACATTTCTTTAAATTTGTCAGATAAATTGTTTTCCTGGGTTTTGATTTCTTGACAAGATAGATCTATTCTATTGCTTGAGACTCAAATGAAAATTGTACTGCTTTTAACATGCATCTTCTTAATCCTCTGAATTGAATTACATCCAGATTCTAAAGATATTTGTGGACAATCCTTTTGCAATTGTCTTGCTGAAACAATCCACAGCTGTACGCTGCTTGGATATGAGTGCATCTCGAAACAAGCTGGCAGTGGTTGATGAAAATGACACATGTCTCGTGTATGACATTAACACCAAAGAATTGCTGTTTCAGGTAAACATTTTGGATAATATTTGGGTTAAGGGTTTGGTGCGTGAGGCAGTATTTTTCTAATTTAATTCTGTTTTGTATAAAGAGAAATTCAAATATAGGTTAACTTCCAGATCAGCTAGGAAAGACAGGGATCATATGATGTAATTCCTTCAGTTAAGCTTTCTTATTAATATATTGATTGCATTTCTAAACTACTCAATAATCAACATTTTCAGGACAGTGGAGTCTGTAGAAAACTTAAAATTATCCTGTTGTCAGTAGTATAGAATTGTATTATTATTTCAATATAATAAAAATAATGACTAAAGATGCAGGAGATAAACTGAAGATTACATTAGGAGTAGAGATTACAGCCTTTTGACATATAAAATGAAATTAAATAGCAGCACAATTAAAGTGCAAAGAGGTAAAATATTAAATCAGTTCTGAAAATGCCTGGAAGAGGATCATCAACTGATAGAATAAAATCATTATTTTATTTTATTTTATTTTATTTACAGTATTTATGTACCACTTTTGACCTGGGGGGACTCAAAGCGGTTTATAAAAATAATGGCAAAATTCAATACCTTACATACATAAACCAAATTATAAATCAATAGCATATAACTAAGTATAAATTTCAATAGGACAATTCACCACGAGATAAGAGGACATCTAAATGTGAAATATAAAAATTAAAAACACATAATAAAAACATTGAAATCACATGATCCAAACTCGTAGATCGGACCATTCCAAATGTTGATTGGACATATTCCATATTTACTTCTTCCACTGGGTTACTTTACTAGTCAAAAGTTGATGCTAGGTGGGTCTCTCTGGGAAGGGCATTATATGAACAGCGTGCCACTATTAAAAACTCTGTCATGTGTTCAAACACCTTATCTCTTTTGACAGTAGATTTGATTGGCCACCAGCCTGTTTTCAGGTCCAGTATAGATTCCCACCAGTACATTTTCCCCAAGATTGCCCTTTTCTTGGATTCCTTTACATTTGTTTTAACCTTTTAACTTTATTCCTGCCCCTTTAAATATTATGTTTGCTTTTCTAAGATTCTTTTTCTTCCTGCATCTTGCTTCTTGTGTATGGCCTCAGCTCTAAGATATTTAAAAATCTTCTTTCTCAAAATAAAATCTGATTCTCTTTCCTTCTTTTCTTGACTTTGAAAGCTTTATTCCTCTTCAGAATGCTTCTGCATAATTAAGATTCATTTCACTGGAAACTATAGCAGTAATACTAAAGAAATGTTCTTAGTTGCAAGCAGTTTTCTTGCTATTTTTGCAAGCATTTCTCAAAGAGCTATCTATTTCTAATCATAAACCTAAAATGCAGAGAAGTACTTTAATTTGAGCACTATTGAATATCCTATATGACTGATGTTCATTTCTTTTAAATTTCTTTTAGATTAATGATGTTTAATGAGTATGTGTAATAATTTGTTCAATGTGCCCATTAGGAACCCAACGCTAATAGTGTGGCTTGGAACACACAGTGTGAGGACATGCTTTGTTTCTCTGGAGGCGGATATCTCAACATCAAAGCTAGTAACTTTCCTGTTCATCAGCAGAAACTTCAGGGATTTGTGGTTGGCTACAACGGCTCTAAAATTTTTTGTCTCCATGTTTTCTCTATGACTGCTGTTGAAGTTCCTCAGGTAATCTTTAGCCTTGTTCATTCATTCATTTGTCTTTGCTAACATCAGCATTACTTTTTTAAAAAAGCAATGTGTTCCAAATATTTCATGGTCTCTTTTGACCTCCTCAAATTGATTTATGCTTGTAGTCATGTGTTTGACCTGTCCTTCTCCAAAGGAATAGTTAGACCTCTCTATCTTTGATAGATGACACAACAATATAGAAGAATAGAACTTTAATAAAATTTTGCATTGGAAAACACCTTCAAGAATCTTCCTTTAATACGCTTTCACTTTACTGCTACTTATTCCAATATTTCATATTAGAAGAATTGAGACCTAACAAATTAATTATCCTTTGTCTTTTAATAATTTCTAATATAGTAGTCTTTGATAAGTGCCAGCGTACTGTCTGCTGATTTTTTTTATATGTTGATCAGTTCTGTTTATATGAAATATTTTTAAGCAATGACAAATTGATTTGCCCTTCTGGAATTTCAGCTTTCATAAATAGCGAAACATCCTTTAATTTATAGTTTGTTGCCTAGTTTGGGCATTCAATACTACACCTTAATAAACCGAGCGATGTCTGCAGTTGTTAATTCTAATTGGTTGGGGAGCTCACCCTGCTGCTATTCAGAGCTTGGACTGCTAGTGTCCAAATATATATGAACCTTCTGTTGTTTACCTATATGTTCCTTTATTCTGTTTCCCTCCCAACCACATTCTTGGCAATTTGTTGTTAGTCTACAGTCAATAGTAGCTTTAATTACACATAAACCACGATTAGTAGGATCAAAATAGATCATGATCTTTTATCACATTTGGTTTAAGATCCCGGCTTGCTCAGTAATAGGAACAGTTCTTACCATTTTGGGATGTCTTTACTTTTTAAACAGTGAGTTGAATACTAGTAGACAGCATAGTTAAACGAATAGACATAAGTACTTTAGAAGTTAATGTTAGAATTTGGATACGTTTTTATAAATTTGGCTAAGATAAAATTCAATGGAAATAAATGTAGAAATGCAGAAGATGGTAGATTTGTAGAGGAGAATATTAGTCTTCTAATAAAGTATAAACTGGATATTATCCTACATTGCCTCACGAAAAGACAATGCTGGATTTAGGACAAATTAGGCCATGTGCTAGTTAAGTTATGAGGCCCCTTCCTTGGGCCCAGAAGGAGGGAGGCCCAGCAGGCCCACTCCCATCGACTATCAACTTGTATCATTATGTCTGGAATCACTCCAAAACAGGAAGCCTTCACATTTAGAATTGCACTCCATAAGCAAAATCCATCATAACATGGGGGTGGGGGGTGGGGAGGAAGATTTATTTATTTACGACATTTATATGCTGCCCTTCTCACCTCGAAATGGACTCAAAGATGGCTCCCCCTTGGCCAACGGGGACCTGTGCTTAAGCACACCTAAGCACAATGGTAAATCTGGCATTGCGAACAGACAATATGAATGAGTCTGTAATGGTAACAGGTTTGTTTGTAAGGTATAGGCAGGCATATGATCACTCTTAGGTGGTATATGGCCTATACAGAAATCTCTTTCAGAAAAAGTAGTCCAGTAATAGAGGTACAAATGTCAAAGGTTGAGCATATTGGAGGAGATCAGTAAACATAAAAGAACATCAAAAAGCAAGAGGTTAAAGTGTTAATGCATTTATATTAGGTTAGGGAATGTTCACATTTTGCAACATGGGTTTTCCACCAGCAGTTATAGCTGGGGCCCTCCAGATATTTTTGGACTTCAGTTCCCATTGATTGTAGTCAGCACTATAACTTTTGATGGATGATGGAGTTAGGATTTAAGAACTTCTGGTTGTCTACACCTGAGAAATTGGATGGATTTGATACAATACAAACATGATGAAGGTTCTAGATAAAGACAGTACATAGATGAAGATTTATTTTTCATTACAGATTGGTTTAAAAATGGCCTTAAGGAAAGTGAGTATTAAACAGGATGATACCATGGGAATCGTTTCCAAACATTAAAAGGCTGCTATAAATGGGGACAGAATAATTGCATTCTGTTGCTTCTAAGAGAATGAAAACAAACTGCCATCTGTAAGAACAGTTTGGCAACCAAACAAGTTAGCCAGGGGATGCATTTTGGAATTTACTTAGGATTTTATTTCCTACAAAACTTTTTGTGCAGGAAACATCTGTCATAAACAAATCTTGCTACTCGGGAGTGTGCCCGCTGATCCAACAAGTTACACTTAAAAGTGGTGCTTATATGTCACTTATTGGAGAGAGAAATGGATTTCAGGGAAAAGTGACACCTCTGTTCATTGTGTGTGGAACCGGCATAAGGACAGATCTTTCTTTTATACAATAAATCTGAAATGGTTTCCCCCCTCATTTCTATCTAAATATTTTAATACAATAAGTAACAAGGATAATTGGACTTCACTATATAGTACTCACTAATTGGCACATCTACTTGTCCAGTTTAGGGCCACCTTGAGATCCATGAAAGAATCTTAAGAGTAAAAAGGCAAAAAGATTAACAAGAGTTCACAAGTTGGAAATATATGGCCAACCTGGATGCGGATCCATCACAATTCGCTTTCCCCTTTCAGGTACCATAGGCCTTCAATTGGACTTGTCTCTACACACAGACACACAGACATTGTGTGCTGCCTGAAGATATTCTGAAGAGGTTTTCCCAGCACTCCTGATTTGCTGTTGAGGGCATACAGTGGAAACACACTTAACTCCGTGTCTTGGTTTCTATTACCCTTTTTCAAGTATGTTATGAAAGTGTAATTTTCCTATTAAACTTAGGAAATAAAACTAATGTCTCAATGGTTTGCTTTGCTTTAACACCCGCAGTCAGCACCTATGTATCAATACTTGGAGAGGAAAATGTTCAGAGAAGCCTACAAGATTGCCTGCTTGGGAGTGACTGACACAGATTGGAAAGAACTGGCTATGGAGGCTTTGGAAGGACTTGAGTTTGAAACAGCTAAGAAGGTAAAGCACTTTATCTTCATATGTAAATGCATTTAACAGTTCTCTCATTTGTATTAACTGAAAGTAATTATACATATATGATACTATGCCAGTTGAAACAAGAAAGCTAAATTGATTGTAATGCCATATTTTATTGAATTTATTGCTCTTGTTAATTTTATGTCTGGTTTAAATGTGTTACTGGTTTTAATATTGATATGTTGTATTTTATGTTGTATGGTACCATTGTGTGCTTTGTGAGCCGCCCTGAGTCCCTATGGGAAATTGTGGCGGGATATAAATAAACTTTATTGTTGTTGTTGTTGTTGTTGTTGTTGTTGTTGTTGTTGTTAAGGTGTATATCCTGAAATTTAAGTATCACTTTAAAGCCTTGACAGTGTTATGGTAATATATTATAAATTGTTTTCTCCTCAGTCTCTGTTAGGAATGTAATGGAAGTTGAGTGGGAGTTAAGATATATGTTTTATTCTCAGTCTCTAAAATGCTAATTGAACATTCTAATTCTGTTTCAATTCCAGACATAGGTAATGGTTAAAATTAAGTTAAAATAGACTAACTCTTTCACTATGAAAATAAAATAAAAATATTAGTCTGCTACTGCCATCATTGACCACTGTGTGGCAGAAATGATTTGTTTTGCTATAATGTAGTAAACCCACTTCTTTTTGAAAAAAACATTCAGATTTCTTATCCTTTTTTCATTTCCACTGCGAAGTATTTTAGCTTTGAATGTGGGCAATTTATTGCTTATACTTTCTCACTCAGAGCAGCTTTGAACATTTCCTTTTAAATGTTCTCCTGTGGGGACTATGCGTATTCAGGCAGTCCATGCCTTGCTTCACTGTGCATCTGGAGTACATGTGGGGCTGAGCTTTGGGGCATTCTTTACAAACTTGAGTAGAGGGAGCACAGCCTTCTCTCTTCTCCTCTCTTGTGCTTTTTCTCTCCTTGCTTTTAAAGCCTTCTCTCAGATTTCCTCTCTATTAGGACTGGACAGACCTGTTCTTCCCAAGCTTTTGTTCTCCTCTTCCCCCTAGCACCACCTTCAAGTTACTTCTGAAGGAGCACGGACAAACCTACATTTGCAATCTTACCCTTCTTTCAAAGTGGAGTTTCTATGAGTCTCTTTTCTCAGGCAATGAGCAGACCTAAAGCAGCTTAGCTTTAGAAATGTTTCTGGAGCTTGTGTCTTCAGACCATGCCTTAGACTGCTGACAAAGTATTTGTTTTTCTCCTTTGGTTAAGATATATATATATACACATATATATATATATATACACACACATTTCCATTTATTTTTAAAACAAAATATTGCATACATTTGCAGTAAGAGATATATGCACTTTTTATGGTCACAGAATTGGGGGAATGTATAATAATAATAATAATAATAATAATAATAATAATAATAATAACACTTTATTTGTACCCCGCTACCATATCCCCAAAGGACTCGGTGCGGCTTACATGAGGCCGAGCCCAAATACAACAATACAAGTAATAAAACAACAATACAAGTAATTAAAATTTTAAAAAATCATCATCGTTGTTGTTGTTATTATATTTATACCCCACTTTTATCTCTTGATTTAGAGATTGAAGTACTTCTAGGGCAGTGGTTCTCAACTTGTGGATCATCAGATGTTTTGGCCTTCAACTCCCAGAAATCCTAACAGCTAGTAGAAGATAATAATAATACTGAAAAAGCAGTGCCTTGCCATATGCAAGTAAATATTTTTTGTTCTTAGAAAGCTACAGTGCAGCAGAACTCAGTAACTTGCAGCTTAACTGATTCTATGTTGGTAAAGCATCCCCTTGATAGAGACAAATTTGGCTAATCCTCCCTCCCTATTCAGCACCTTGTATTTCCAAAGATCTTCACTAGAAGGATAAGGGAGGGACGACTCTTTGGAATAGGATGGATGAGTGGCATGAAGCTTTCAGAGTGAAAGCTAAATATGTCAAAATTGGCTTCTTCCTGTCTTCTTCCAGTGGAAGCCTCAAATTGGATTGATTTTCTCTTTTTTACAATAGAACTCAGAATCCAATCTATGCATTTGCTCTATCTCTTTTGCTAGATATTTATGTATGCATTCCATTTAAAGAGAAACAGTTTTCATTTGCTTGAAAATGTTGTAATCTTCTCTCTCGGCATTAGAGCAGATTAACATGACAAAAGCAGCGAATATGTAGAACATATTATATAGAACTATACATTTAATGTATTTATTGTCAACTGAATATTTTTTAACATAAAGATTCATCACTATACTAATTTCAGCTGCTTTTAGATTTTTTTTTAAAAACCCACACAATTTATTTGGTATGTTGAGATTACATTCTAAGCCGCTGTAATATATTCAGGATTTGTAATTGAACGTTTCCACCCTAATTTATGCACTGTTCTTCCAAAACAGAGTAGCCTATAAAAATGAAAAACATGAATAAAATACAGCATCAAAAACTTTTTGAAAATACATCAGCAATAAGTGACAGTGTTAATACTGCCTCATCAGCACTGTTACAGGTCTGTCCACATGTCTGCTCACCTCCCTTAAATCAGTGAGACTTAATTCTCTGAACAGACATATATGGCAGGGGGAGGGGGGCATTGTTAGTCTCCTAACCAAACACCCCTCAGTATTTTCTGCACACTATTAAAGGCAGAGATGTGTGTGTTTTCACTGTGTATGACATTCCCAGACTGCGGAGGACACTGTAGGTCAAAGTTATTACCTTGAACTTGACCTGAAGGTCACTGGCAAGCAGTGTAATTGTCACAGAAACTTCCTGCTTTCTTAAATTGACCAGAAGATACTCAAACATTTCACACTAGCTAAAGACATTTTCAAAGGGAACCCCCCACAGAGTATTTTACTTTAGTCTACACTCAGGAAAGCAAAGGTACAGTTGGTAGTGGTGGGTGTTCCGGTTCCTTAGGAAGGAATAGAGAAGATATATCAAATCAGTTTCTGGCCAAAGCTGCCATATGTTTTTTGTTACAGTTTTACACCAAGATGAGGTAGTTCCACAGATTGTACATTTAATTCAATAAGCAATCTAGGAAGACCTGCTGAGCACAACTATTATTCAAAGCATCAAGTCGAATCTTTTCTGGATATGAGGTTCACCTATTTTATCATGGCCTTTGGACATTGATATTGGTTTAGATTATCTGCTCCTAGATGTTCAGTCGATGAAATCCTGGATAAGCTTGGAATGTAAGCTAATGACTTTTGATAACTTTTAACATATTAAACAACAGAGATAATCCTGACCTCTAACTTTTGTATTTGAGTTGCTGAACAGATAATAGTACAACTATTCAAAAGCTTTCCCTCGTGTCCACATAAAATTATCTCATTGTCTGCCAGAGTTCTGCACATCATGGTTAAGCACTTTGCGGATAGAAGAGCCATTGTTTTCAGTGGGAATGATCAGGCAACATACATCAGCATGTTACCTCAGTCCTCAAGAATTCTAGCTTACTGTGATTTATGAACATATCCACTGTGTCTCAAGGGCAGATGAGGCAGCACGGGGCAAATACAAACAGATATTCCCTGCTTGAATTATAATATGCTTACATACATAAGGTTTAATGCACTGTATCGTTGGATTCATTTTATTGATTATTGATGTGCTTACTATAACTTGATTCTGTAATTAATTTTGCCTATGATATATTTATTTCTGATGTTCTGCACCTCTGTCTTGCACTTCTTCCACTTCCCCAGCACTATGATACGCTGTTTGCACTGTCCCTCGCCCATCCCTTTTTAATTGAGTAGGTCCATTTTTAGCACTCCTAGCATTTGCTATTGTTAAGCCTCGCCTGATGGAGCTCTGATGTATTCAGTTTTATATTTATTTTTAGTGTGTTTTATCAGGTTTGTTGTATTTTATGATTTTTTAATTTTTTATTTTATTTTTTATTTTTCACTATTTTGATTATTAAGTTATATTTATGTTGTTTTAAATTGTTTAATGTATCATGTCCTGATGTAAACTGTTTGTTTGTTTGTTTGTGTTTTTTTTGGCATTGAATATTTGCCATATTTGTTGGAAACCACCCTGAGTCCCTCCAAGGACATAGGGCAGTCTATAAATAAAGATGATGATGAAGGTGGTGGTGGTGGTGATTGTGATGGTGATGATTGTTCTGTTAGACATTCACATGCAATAGGTGAAGTGTATAACATCATTTTTAGCCACTTCCATTTATATTATTCCATTTTTTTCCTTTAGTATAGAGGAAAACTAAAGCATAGTCACACAGTAGAAGTCGTCACTACTATATTTGTTGCCTGTCTGGGTATAAAATATTACTCCTTGCTGACGTATTTTTCTTCCTGTGTTTTGACAGGCATTTACCAGAGTGCGAGATCTTCAATATCTGGAACTGATAAGCAGTATAGAGGTAAAGTAAAAAAATGAAACGTAGAAGTGTGATTTGAGATCAAACATGCTTGCATGTTTAGGCCAGAATCTATGTGGCGTGCTCCGCACACATAATAGCCAAGTTAAATAACTGGTTGCACTTCTTCCAAGCTTGTGAAGTAGAAGCAAAGGAAACAACACAAAGTCACTGTCATCAAGAAGAGAACTCTGCATTTCTAAGCCACTTGTTTCTCCAGTGCCTGGCTTCTTTGAAGTTCCTTTGAGCCAAGATTTCTGAGAGGGTTGGCACGGAGGATCACCTGTCCTGTAGCACAAAGTTTAAATATTTTCCCAAGATGGCGCTGTGAAGACACACAGCACTGCTAGCTCCAGGGGGAGATTAATTTGCTCTCGACTCCCCCCCCCCCTCGCGGCCGCCTCTTTACCATCCAGATCTGGGAAGGCTTCCCCGAGCAACCCGGGGAACAACGAGAAGGGAGAGGGCCCCCGAAGGCCGGAATAGCTGCGCGCCGCCGCCATTCCACCGCGGCCGATCGCGCAACGCCGCCATTCTACCGCGGCTGCCTCCGTCTTCTGCTGCCACCCATCGCAGCCTGGTGAAGCCACGGGGCCTCCCGCCGACGCGCCTTCCCACCTCCCGCCGCCCCGGGGGAGGTTGGTGTGAGGGGCTCGCTCGCCGCGCGGACCTCTATTCCATCTAGGCCCCGAGGCCTGCTAGGCCTCGCTGCGGCGCGCCCCCACCCTTGCTATACCGGAGGAGGTGAGAGAGGGAAGGTCTCCACCCGGGTGAAGAGTGAGAGGGCCACCAGGCCTCCATTGCTGCTGACTCCTACCTCCCTGTAAGCTGCGGCGTATCCGGCCCCTCTGAAAACATCGGGAAGGGGCCGAGGAAGAACGCCGGGCTGCGCTGCCTCTGCCCCCCTCCCTTGTCATCCAGGAGGGCTGAAAAGAGAGCCGGCTGCCTGCGAGCTGATCCAGCCCTTCCATCCATCGGGAAGGGGCCGTGGAAAGAGTTCTGCACTCCACTCCGTCGCCCCCCCCCATTCCATCAGGAGGCGAGCGAAACGAGCCGGCCAGCCGCAGCTCACCTAGCCCCTCCGTTTCCACCTGGGAAGGGGCCCAGAGAGAGCACCAGCCACGCCACCGTCGCCCCCTCCCTGTCATCCGGGTGGGGTGAAGATTGCTCCAGCCAGCTGCGGCCTTCGTCGACCCCTTGCATCAAGAAGGGGCCGAAGAGCTCCAGGAAGCTGCTGTTCCGAGTGTTCGAGTGTCTACACCAGCAAGGAACTTTGTCGCCATCTGACTCTTTTTTTTGTTTTATGTTTTTGTTTTTTGTTTTTTGTTTATTATCTTTTAGTCTTACTCTATTTTCCCACTTTTTCTTTTGGCTAGTGTTATTTTGGTTTTAGATATAGGATAGTTGGCTATATGTTGCATGTTGTCTGTTTGGTTTTAATTGCTGAGAGTGTATATTAGGAGGTCATAGAGTTTCATAGGTTTTGATATTAGAGGATTGGATTGCTGGGGTGGGTTAGGGAAGAGGCCCAGGAGAGCGCATGAGTCTGTCTGCAACATAGAAATACTATATAGGAAGATATGGATGGTAGCTGAGTGTGTTTAGACTAGAGCTGTGATATAGTGATTCACAGGAAGGAGTGGATGTTGGTTGCGTGTGTTTAGTCTAGTGAGAGAGTGAGTTAGTTTAGTCTAACTGCCCGAGTGTTTTGTGGGAGAGGGTGGAGAGTGTGACATAGGAAGCGTGTATGGTTACTGGGTGTGGTTAGTTTATTGTGTGAGAGCGTAGGTTAGTGTGGCTGGTAGAGTGTATTGTGGGAGAGAGAGGAGTGTGTGGATCTTTGGAGTGCCTGGGAGTGGTTGGCTGTGCTGGAAGTGAATGTGAGTGAAGTGAGTGGGAGTGCCCAGATTGAGTGTTGTGAGAGCTACCTTTAGACATAGGAATGGATGAAGCAGAACCTCATGCGAAGAATGATCTTTTGCACTTTTACAACCTCCTGAGGGAATCGTTTAACCATGTGTTATTACAACTCAGGTTTTTAAATAAGAAAATGGACCACCTCCTAAGAGGTTTTGCCTCTTTCTCAGGAATTCCTGTGCAATCCTTTCCCCCAAAGACTGAGAACTCTTTGTGTGCAGATCTAGCTAAGGACTTGTGCCAAAATGGGGAGAAAGGCACGTCGGATTTTGGGGATCTTGGGGCTGAACGAGGAATGAATGATGAGTTGGCTGAGGGAAGGGGAGAATCTTCGGGCAGTCATAGGATTGAGAACATCGTGGAGTGGCAGCGGTCTGTGAGGGCCGCTCAGAGGACGATCAATAATATAACAACAGATCTTTTGGCTCAGCCAACCGCAGCCTGTAATCAGGATCA